GCCCGTGGCCGAAACGTGTGGAAGGGAGGCAGGGACAGGGGAAGCAGGTCAGAGGCCCTGCTGACGGAGGCTCGGGGTCATGGTGCGGGCCAGCGAGCACGGACGTGCCCAGAGTTCCCTGCTCTCACGGGGCTGGGGAGCTGCTGCCGAGGGGTGGGCCAGGCACGGGGACCTGCGAGGGGCAGCAGGCAGTGGCCATCTGGCCTGGCCTTGCGCTGGGCCCTGTCCCCTGGCCTGCCCTAGGCCCCCGGTGCCCGCTGTCTCTCTTCGTGAGCCCCTCCTTGGGGGCTCTTGCCCCTTGGCCGCCAGCCCCCCACGGTCAGCCCCCCACGGGGCCTGCCACAGGCCCCGGTGCTACTTAGCAGGTATCTTTGCTGCGCTTTGGGGCTTTTTTTTGCAAAAAGCCATTAACGAGCGAGGTGGATAAAGTTAATTTGCTTCTATCGGTTTGTCCAAACTGGCGTGTTTGCGCATCTCCTCGGGTCCAAGCATGAGGGTCCCGAGGGCGCCGTTGCTGGGCGCCTCCCCCAGGAGCCCTGGCGCCACCCACAAGCCCAGCAAGCAGCCGCAGCTGGCCCCCTGAGGCGCCCCCGGGCAGCCCGCGGGCAGGAGCTGAGCTCTGGGCCGGCCCGGACCCTGGCACCCTTGGGGCCTTAACCCACTAACCCAGCCCCTGCAGGCGCATCTGCTCCGCACCCGCCCTCCCCGGCCGTGGCAGTGCACGTGCTCCCTGCCTAACACTAACCGTGTGTTTCCTTCCCTCCGCACCCGTCGCTCTGATAGGCACTTACCTGGGTAAGTAGCGCCGGGCCTGGGGGCTGCGGGGCTGCGGCGGCGGTGGTGGCCCGTCCCTCCGCCCTGCCCAGGGGCGCCCCAGGCTAGGAGGTGTGCGGTGGGAGGGCTGGACAGCTGCGCGCAGGCGACAGACCTCCGCCAAGGAGCGTGCTCGGGAAGGGCTAGTTCTGGAAGGCCGCCGGCAGGCCAGGCTCTCGTGCTCCCACGGGCCGCACCGTGTGCTCGCGTGCACGCTCACTGGCGCAGGCGGAGCCGGGGGGCAGTGGGGTCATCGGGGGTCACCTGGCTTCTCTGCCCGGGTGCCCGTGGCCGGGGCCTGGGGGGTGTGGACCACGGCCTGGGAGGGTGCCCTCTCGAGCCGGTAGGGTGGCCGCGCCTGTGCCCTGGCCTCTCCTAGAAGCTTCCATGTGCTCCTCCGGGGCAGCTAGCCCCAGGGTCAGCCAGGGATGCTTGATGTCCCTGGGGAAGAGGCGCAGCGCTGCCCGAGGAGGGGCGGCCCCCCGCGGGGTTCTGGTACCACCGTGTTGATAGCCGGGCGAGGCGTTGCCTGGCTACCGTGTAAACCCGGCGTCGTCTGTGGCGGCCCAGCCGGGCAGGCGGTCTGCGTGCCAGGGAGCGGGCCGTCACACCGGGACGCCTGCCTTCTGCCTGGAGCCCAGGAGCTGGGGGGGCTCCCGCGGCCTCAGGCTCGCCCGGCGCGTGTGCTAGGCCGCGGCTTGGGGGGGACGCAGCCCCCGCCCTCAGCTGCAGGCCTCACGCCCCGTTCCCCCTCTTGTCAGGTCTGGCGAACCACGGACAGACCAGGCACATGGTAAGAGGTCGAGCCGGCCGCGGGGCTGCGCAGCAGGGCCGGGGGGGGGGGGGGGCGCGGGCGTCCCCCTCACGCCGCCCCTCGCCGCAGGGACCAAGCCGGAACCTCCTGCTCAACGGGAAGTCCTACCCCACCAAAGTGCGCCTGATTCGGGGGGGCTCCCTGCCCCCCGTCAAGCGGCGGAGGATGAACTGGATCGACGCCCCCGATGATGTGTTTTACATGGCCACCGAGGAGACCAGGTGGGGGCCTCCCCGGGGCGGGCGGGGGCGGGCGGGGCGGCTCCCCGGGCTCCCCGGCACCCCCGGCTCCCCCGGCTCCCCCGGCACCCGCGCCGCTGTGTTCGCAGGAAGATCCGCAAGCTGCTATCGTCCTCGGAGACCAAGCGAGCCGCGCGCCGGCCCTACAAGCCCATCGCCCTGCGCCAGAGCCAGGCCCTGCCGCTGCGGCCGCCCCCGCCGGCGCCCGTCAACGACGAGCCCATCGTCATCGAGGACTAGCGCCCGCGCCCGCCGCCGCCGACCACAGCCCGCGCCCCCGCCCGCCGCCCGCCCGCGCCCGCCCGGTTTTGGTAGCGTCCCCCTCCCGCCCCACCGCACAGAAACTGCTCCTCCGGGACGTCGGGAAGAGGCGCGCCCATTCCCAGGATGCCCAGGAGTCGTTTTTAGCTTTGTGTTTACTTTTTGGCCGGAGCGGAGCCGAGGAGCCGCCTGCGTGCCCGCACCGCGCTGCGGGCCCCGCGGGCCGGCCGGAAGTTTTGTTGTGTTCTGTTGAAGGTGCCATTTTAAATTTTATTTTTATTACTTTTTTTGTAGATGAACTTAAGCTCTGTAACTTACATCTGGAATGTTAGGATCGGCATGGCCAGCGGCCGGCCGCGCTGCCTGGTGGGGTTGGCCCCTGGTCTTTTCAAGTAATTTTCATATTAAAAAAAACAAAGAAAAAAAAACTCATAAAAAGAAAAAACCAACTAGCCCTGCCCGTGTCTTGTGTCCCCTCGTCCCCCGCCTTGCCTCGGGCGTCCAGGCTGTCCCCGTCCCCCAGCACCGCAGGGCGGGGGGCGGCTCCGGGCCGAGATCGGGTCCTCAGGCAGGAGGACGTTCGGGCGAGGGCCCCGGTGAACACCGTGTGCCCCGCGGCTCTCCTGGGGTTCTGCTGTCCCCTTGCCCCCTGCCCCCCCCCCACACTGGCCCTCTGTGGGACCTGGCCCAGTGACCCCCTGTCTCCCGTGGGGGTAAGGTGCAGAGCTCGGGGCCCTCACACAGCGGAGCTGAGACCCCCTGTGTCTGGTGGAGTCACAGGGTGGCCTGGACCTGGCCTGGGACCCAGGCGGGCAGGTGCCTGGCTCCGGTGGCCCTGTGGCTCCTCTCCCACCAGGGCGGCCAGCATAGCTGGGTCAGGCCGGCCCCCCACCCTGCTCCTGGCACAGCCCTGCCCCAGCTGTCCGAGGATTTCTGCCCAGAGCCGCAGGGCCAGGCCAACCAACCCCCAGCAGGTGTGGAGTTTCCAAAGTGAGAATTTGCTCAGATTTCAGCAAATACGTTGTTCTCAGAAATTCTACCTCTGGCCATACCTCTGCACCCACCCCTGCAGGCCGGCAAGACAGGGGCAAGCTGTCTAGCCACCCGAGAGAAGGGTCTGGGGGGACACCTCTTGCTCTCTGCCAAGCCAGCTGGCCTGGAGGAGGCTAGGCCGGGCCCTCCTGGGGTGGGGCCCCCTCCACCTTCCTCCCCGAGCTCTGCCTCCTCCTCCCCCAGTCCCACCCCTGATGCGTGCACATCTCAGCCACGGAATTAAAATAGAAACTACTTGTGCTCCCCCGCTGGAGACAGATAAGGGAGCCCTGGCCTCCCTGGAGCCCGTGATGGGGCCCCGTAAGGTGACAGGCCGGGGTGTTGAAGATACGGCCCACTGGCCGTGTCGTCTGTAGCCCGGGTACTCCCACCCTGCCCCAGGACAGTGGTGATGGCTCGGCCGGGAGCTGAGCTGACCAAGACGAGCTTCCTGGGCACCTCTTCCAAACCCCCGGGGTCTGAGGATGGGGTAGGGAATCCCTCGGGCCCTCTCCCCTCCTGCACACAGACCCACAGAACCTCCAGAGCCGCCGCCTGCCGTCGAGCCCAGCCCGGGTCCCTGCAGCAGAGCCTAGCCGGTCCTGTGTGCTGTTTACCACCAGTGTTGCCAGGATGCCGAGCCACTGTGGCACCGGGGGGGGGGGGGGGAACCCCAGGGGTCTCTGTGGGCCCTGCCCGCTGCTCTGCACCCCTGGTGCCCTCCCCCATCCTGCTCGCTGGGAGCCTGTCTGCCCTGGCCCTGCTCTTGCTGCGGCCCTCGGTGTCCATTGGCCCAGAATGGCCCTGTCACACCAGGGAGCCTCTGCTCTGCCCTGGGACTGCAGCTGGACGCGGGGCACCTGTCCCAGGGGTGTCCCGTCTGAGCTGTGCCCCGTTGCTCCCCAGGCAGGGCTGGGCCCTGCGCCTGTTGCACACATTCCCTACAGGAGCCCCCTGACGCCCAGCCTCAGCGAGGAGGGCCGGGGCACCGCTGAGGCCTCCCGCCCCCATCCCCGCCTTGCCTGGCACGGGCGGAGTCAGGGTGCGGCCGGGAAGGGGGGCTGGTCAGGCTGGTCAGTCAGGCTTGAGGGGACCACATGTTTCTGGGCTGTTGTCCTCACGGGAATGCGAATGGCCGTGGCTAGAGGGTGTGAGTGCGGGGGGTGGGGGGGTGGGGGGATGGGGGGATGGGGGGGAGAGCTGGGCCGCGGCGGGGCTGGCGTGAGGTCTGGGTGTCAGGCCAGGAAGGGGCTGGCGGGGTCGGCGCGGCGGGGGCGGCTGGAGCCCCGCGGGGGCCCTGAGACCCGCGCACCGAGTCCTCCCGCGTCGGCCCGGGGTCCCCAGTGCGCACCCCGCGGCCGGTGAGAGCTTGGGGGCAGCGCCCGCCGCAGCTCCCGGCCAGGTCCCTCCGCACCGCGCCTCCCGCCCGCACCCGCCCGGGCCGCGCCCGCCAGGAATCCGGCCCCCGCCGCCCCGTCCCGCCGCGCGCGTCGCCATGGAAACCGAGCAGCAAAGGGACGCGGGGCGGGGGCGGGCGGGCGGCGGGGCGGGCCCGGCGCGGGGGTCCGGTGCGCGTCCCGGGGCGGCCTCGGGCCGAGGCCACCGCCCGCAGGGCCCGGAGCCGGGGGCCGCGGGCCCGCCCGTTGCCATGGACACGGCGCCGCGCGGGCCTCGGGGCGCGGGGCGGGGCGGCCCCTCGCGGCGCGGCAGGTGCGCCCCCGCCCCCCGCCGCCCCCCGCCGCCCCCCGCCGCCCCCCGCCCGGCGCCGCGGGCTCCCGAGGCCCCGCCCCGGCCGCGGAGCCAATGGGGCGCGGGCGGCGGGCGGCGGGGCGGGGCGGCGCGGCGGCGCGGAGACGGGCGCGGGCGGCGGGACGGGCGGGCGCACGGACCATGGCCTCCAAGTGCCCCAAGTGCGACAAGACCGTGTACTTCGGTGAGTCCCGCGCCGCCGCGGAGCCCTTCGCCGCCCGCACGGAGGCGCGGCCCCGAGCGCGGGCGCCCAGGCGGGGGCGGGGCGGGGGCGGCGGCGGGGGCGGGGGCGGCGGGGCGCGCGGGGCTCCCGGCCCGGGGCGCGCGGGGTCAGGCCGGGGCGGCGGGCGGCGGGCGGGGGGCGGGGGGCGCTGCGGGAGCCCCTGCGCTGCGGCTCTCCTCGGCCTCCGCGCGGACACGTGGCCCCGCCGCCGCCCCGCCCCGCCCCGCCCCGACCCCGACCGCGACCCCGACCGCGACCCCGACCGCGACCGCCGCCCCGGGCCGGGCCGGGCCGGACGCGCTGCGCCGGGGCCCGTCCGTGCGGGGGCGACCTCGCCTGCAGCCGCTGCGAGTCCCAGCGCGCTCCCCGCCCCCGGCTCCCGCCCGCAGCCCGGGCACCTGGCGCCCCCCGCCCCGTGCCCCGCCCGCCGCACAGCCTCTCCGGGCCGATTCCCTCCCTCCCTCCCTCCCTCCCTCCCGACTCGGCCGGGGCGGCCAAGTCCTGCCCCTGATCCTCCCACCAACCCGGCCCCAGAGGGACAAGCGGTGGGGGCGGGGCAGGGGACCCTTCCCTGGTCGCTGCGGGGACAGCGGGTCTGCAGTGGGGGCCGCCGGGCAAGGTGGAGGAAGCCACTTGGCCTCCCTGCCCCCGGGCGCAGAAGGAGGTGCAGGGTTGTTTGCTGTTCCCAGAGGGGAGGGACCGGATTTGGCCGCGAGTGCTTCTGCCCTGGCTGGGAGCCTAGGGGCTTCCGGCTGCCTCCCGGGAGCTGGCCCAGCCCTCGGTCCCCATCCCCGTCCCCATCCCCGTCCCCATCCCCGTCCCCATCCCCGAGGGGGCTCGTCCCTGGGGGTCGGCGTGGGGAGCGGCCCCAGGGTCCTCCTGCCAGCGGCACTGCCCCCGAGCCTGCCCCCGAGCCTGCCCCCGGCCGGGCCAGCTCGGGGCCCTCCAGGGCTGGGCGGACAGCCGTGTGGACAGGACGGCCGTGTGGACAGGACGGCCATGGGGACAGGACGGCCGTGGGGACAGCCCGGAAAGCGCTTCTGCCTGCTTGGGCGGTCGCCGGCCCCCAGCAGGAAACAAAGGCAGCTCAGACCCGGCTGGCTTCTGTCCTGGGCGGGAGGCGCTGGCAGAGGGAGGGGGCCTTTGGGCTGGGATCCTGCCCATCCCCCAGTCCCCCCCCCCCCAGCACCGACACCCATGAGCTGAGTGGAACCTGGGCCAGGACACCCAGAGTGACCTCCGAATGCCTCGCCTTTGTGTCCCGAACAATGTGCAGCAGCCCGGTGGGGAGCCGGTCCCTTCCATGCCACTGGACCCAGCCCATTCCATCCTGGCAACCGGGCTGCTAGTGTGCGGCCCCCTACCCACCCGGTGGCTCTCAGGGTCGTCCCCTGCCCCCATGTGGCCCTGTGCTCAAGCTGGCCAGTGTGGCCTGGCCCTGGCGGCCCTGGGCTGCAGCTGCCACGGCCGCCGCTGGCCAGCAGGAGCCCTGGGAGAGGGAGCGGGGCTGGCAAGGGACCCAGGCCCGCCCTGGACACAGGACCCCATGGGCAGAGCGGCCTCGGGGAAAGGGGTGGGGCGGAGGGGGTCCCGGAGGCTGGCCCTGGCCTGGCTGGGCCCAGCAGGTCCTGCCAGGGCCGTGGGGAGCTAGCACCCAGGGCCCCGAGCCCGGGGCGCCAGCAGCAGCACCCATGGGCGTCTGGGGGCAGGGAGTGAGCCGGCCAGGCTGTTGCTGCCCACCCTTGGGGAAGCCGCGGCAGCGTGCGCGAGGGGGACCCAGGAGGCATCTGCGGGGCCTCGGCCTCCTGCTGGAGGGCCCAGGCCGCCTCACCTCCTCCGCCCTGAGGCTTCTGCTCAGACCCCTTCCCTCCGGAATTCCGGCTTGGCTCCGGCCTTTCTTCCTGCCCTCTCCTCCACCGCCCTTCCTGCCCCGCTCTCCTGGGGGGGCCCCCACGCTTCCGCGCATTGGGAGGTGGCCCAGCGGGCGGGGTGGGGAGATGGGGGGTGACTGAGCCCTTAGTGGCCAGTCTCTGACCCCGAACGTCAGCCAGCAGCTGGACGCGGTGCGGCGGGGGTTCTCCCCATCTAGACAGGTGGGCATCCTGTCCCCCGGGGTGGAGCGTCCAGAGGCTCCGCAACCCTCCATGCCCCCCTGCTTGCCGGCCGCGGGGCGGGGGCCTCTGGCAAGTTAGGGCCCAGCTGGAAGGGTTCAGGGACCTGCAGGGGGGCGGGGCCAGGTGTGTGAGTGTGAGGCAGGTGTTTGAGGCAAAACCTCAAACCCGGGTCACCTCAAAACCTCAGGTGCTAGGGCTGGGACCCCGCGCGGGGAGCGAGGGTGAGCAAGACCCAGCAGGGGAGCAGGGACTCCGAGGAGCAGAAGGCGGTTCTGGCGAGGGGTGGGTGCTCCGGGGCCCAGGTGGGGGGCGGGGCAGGACGAGGGCGCTGCAGCCCTGGCCCTGACCCCCCCCGGCCCCCCCTGCCCCCAGCGGAGAAGGTGAGCTCCCTGGGCAAGGACTGGCACAAGTTCTGTCTCAAGTGTGAGCGCTGCAACAAGACGCTGACTCCGGGGGGCCATGCGGAGGTGAGCCCCCTGCCCTGGGGCTGCGGGGAGCAGGGCGGGGGATCCGGGGCTCCCCCACCCTCAGGCCGGGCCTGTGGCTGCGGGGACCCAGCCCTCACCCGGTGCCCCCCTGCCTAGCACGACGGGAAGCCGTTCTGCCACAAGCCCTGCTACGCCACGCTGTTTGGACCCAAAGGTGAGCTTGGGTCACCCTCCTCAGCCTGCGAAGCCTTCTGGCTCCGGGAGGCCTGGCTCCTTCCCGCAGTCCCCTCCTTCCTCCGTGCCCTTCCCAGGAATCTACCCCAGCCCTCGGCACCCCCTGGGTGCCGGGTCCTGACCCCACGGCGGGGCCGCGAGGGCCCTTTCCTGAGCGGGTCAGTGGGGTACGCGAGGCCGCCGGCCACTCACCCCCCAGCGCCCGCCGCCCGCAGGTGTGAACATCGGGGGTGCCGGCTCCTACATCTACGACAAGCCCTCTGCCGAGGGGCCGCAGGTCACCGGCCCCATGGAGGTGCCTGTGGTCCGGGCTGAGGAGCGCAAGGCGAGCGGTCCGCCCAAGGGGCCCAGCAAAGGTGGGCTGGGCTCGGTGTGGGGGGGCGGGGGTCCTGGGGGGCTGCCCTGCCCTCACCGCTCTTCCCCCCCAGCCTCCAGCGTCACCACGTTCACGGGGGAGCCCAACATGTGTCCTCGCTGTAACAAAAGGGTCTACTTTGGTGAGTGACCTCGCCTACTGCCAGGGGGTGGGGGTCTCCCCAGGAGGGTCCCTGGCATCACCGTCTCCCCCCTTCCCAGCCGAGAAGGTGACGTCCCTGGGCAAGGACTGGCACCGCCCGTGCCTGCGCTGTGAGCGCTGTGGGAAGACGCTTACTCCAGGCGGGCACGCGGAGGTGAGGGGCCGGGCAGGGGTGTGGGGCGGGACGGCGGGCGGGTGCTGCCCCGGCGGCCAGAGGGGAGGCATGCCCTGCCGCTGCAGAGCCGCCAGAGCCGCCTGGGCCTCCACCGAGCCGGCTGCAGGCCGAGGCTTTGAGATCTTGAAGGCCGCGGCGAGGGGTGTGTGGAGGCGGCAGGTGCGGGACTGGCCGCCCACTCCCCGTTCCGCCCGCAGCACGACGGCCAGCCCTACTGCCACAAGCCCTGCTACGGGATACTGTTTGGACCCAAGGGTGAGTGTGGCCAGGAAGGTTGGGGTTGGGGTGCCCTGCCCCGCCCCGCCCCGCCCGGCTCCCCGCCACCTTGCCGCCTCTCCCCGCAGGAGTGAACACTGGAGCCGTGGGCAGCTACATCTACGACAGAGACCCCGAGGGCAAAGCTCAGCCCTAGGGCGAGGGCCCGTCCGCCTCCCGCCAGCCTGCTCCGGAGCCCGCTGCTCGGCCCGGGGGCAGCCGCTACCCAGTCCGGCCCGGCGCGTCCTGCCTGCAGGCCCAGGGCCCGGTGCCGCGGGTGGCGGCCTGCCCGCCCACGCCTGTTGCTCTGGCCGCCCCTTGCCCTCTTGTGTCCTCATGGTCTGTGCCCCTCCTCTGTGTGTCTCGTGTCCCTGCGTGTCCCTGTGTGCCCGTGGCCCCGGTGGGTCTCCCTGGGGTGGCCACCCCACACTCCCCCTCTCGCGGCCCCAGGCCTGCCCCACAGTATTACTTCTGCTTCCCTTGCCAGTGACGGCCACAGCCACGCTCTTCACGGTGTTCCCAGGGGGGCACCGAGGGCGTCCCTGCCAGGAGCCCTCCGCCCACCTCCCGCACCGCCTTGCAAGCGCTTGTCTGACACGCGGCTCACACTTACCGCTGAGATTTGCTGTCAATAAAAGGTTTGAGGATCGGGGGACCTAGCGCTGTGTGTCTGGCTGTGGGATGGACGTGAACCCAGGACGGCATCTCTGTGTCCCATCCACGGGTGCTCCCGGCCCCTGCGGGCGGGCTTCTGCTGGGGCTGCGGTCCCGCTCCCCGGGAATGCCAGCCATGGGCACCGGGGCCAGGAGGGGTTAGCGTGGGAAAGAGCCCAGGGCCTGGCACGCGGAGGAAGGGGGGCAGGTGGCCGGAGGAGGGGCCGTCTGCGGGTGTGAGGGAGCTGGGGCGGGGGACAGCGGGCCTGGATGGGGAAGGGGTGTGGTCATTCGTGGGGGACAGAAGGCAGGCAGCGCGGGGCTAGGACCCGGGGCCTTGAGTGCCCTGCTCAGGTGCTCCTGCCCAAGCAGCGTTCCTGTGTCTGGGTCGGCAGGGAAACTGCAGTCACCCCCGATCCCCAGGCAGTCCCGCCTGCGCCTTTGAGGACCCCTCGCCCTCGCCCGCCGGTCCCTCCTATCTGCTGCCCAGCAGAGGGCGCAGCTTGTCCTCGGCTCTGGAACCGGGCTGGGCTGGGGCCGAAAGCCGGCGGGCGGCGCCGGCCCTGCTGGGCCCTTGTGCCCTGCACCCCAGGACCAGCTCCGTGCGTCCCAGCCCTGGGCGCCTCCCTGGCCCACCCTCCGGGCCCCAGGCTCCACGTAGCTGAGCCTGGCTGCAGTGGCCATTGTCCTGCGGGCAGCCAGCCGTGTCCCTGGGGGTGGATCGGCGGGATCCGGTGTCCGGCGATGCCAGGCCGCCCTCCTCCCGGGCGGTCCAATCCGGGGCCCACCGTGGGCCGCAGTGTCTCCTCCCACCTGGCCAGCCCGGGAGTGCAGCCAGAATGTGCAGGGCAGGTGGCCCGCGGGGGGCGGGGTGGGGGGACACGCTGGAACAGGTACCCCCAGGGCAGCCGGGGAGCCTCGGGCGGCCTCAGGGCCCTCGGGGAGCTCCGTGGAAGGCCCCCACCTACCGGCTGGGGGAGGCGTCCTGAGCCCCGCCCGCCCGCCCTCGCTGCCGGGTCGGATGGGAAGCGCCTGCCCCTCCCCGAGCGAGCGGAGCTGCTGAGGGCACGGCCCGGGCCTCCCTCGGGAGCCTCCAGTGGAAACTATGCGGGGACAGACGGGGGTGGGCGGCGGGGCAGGCCCCGGGGGAGACGGGCCCCAGGCCTGCCCGGGACACCGCGCACCCCAGCCCCCGCGGGGAAGGCGCGTCCCACTTCCTGCGGGCGAGGATGACGCGCGCCCTGTTTGTTTCCCAGCGGTTGTCACGGAGACCGGGGCGGCGCCACCCTCGGCCTGGCGCGTCGCTAGGCGTGTCGGGAGGACGCCCGAGCCCCTGCGCTGCCCGCCGGCGCCTCGGTGGCACCCGCTCCAGGAAGCTCGGGCGAGTCGGGCCCTCCGAGGCCGCAGCCCCTCCGACGGCCGCCAGCCAGCGGGGCGCCCGCCGAGGCCAGCGCACAGCCCCCTCCCCGGGCCAACCCGCCCGCTTCACGCTCCGGCCCGCGGTGGGCTCTGCAGCTTGGGGAGGCCCGGCCGTATGGCCCTGGCCACTGTCCCCAGTCTGCTGTGCAGTCTGCTGTCTGCACCTCCCTCGGCCCCGCCCCCCTGAGGGCCTAGACCCCCCCCCCGCACGTCCCCCTCCAGGTTCCCGACGGTCCCCCCGCCGCCCCTGTAGCATCACATCTCCCTTTCCCCTGCCCGAGGCTCCCTGAGGACCCCACCCAGCTGAGGCCCGCTCCCGACATTTCTTTAGGACCTGCCTAAGGTCCCCGGGTCACAGCCCCTAGTCCTAGTCCCCGGGATCGGGTGTCAGGAAGTCAGCAAGCGCCGGTGCCCCTGGCTCTGGGCTGCTGGGGGCTGGGCCAGGTGAAGACTGGCAGGGCACCAGGGCCGCAGGTGTAGGCAGCACACTTCCCGGGGCCCGGCCGGCTGCCGGGGGTGGGAGGCTGGGGCTCGGGCCCACCGAAAGGCTCAGCTGCTGGACTCGTGAGGCCAGGATTTGAGGCAGTTCTGCTTGGGCTTTGTCTCCAGGACATGGATCCTTGGAACGAGGCTCAGCTTCCGTGGGGGACGAGGGTCACCCCAACTGGCCAGACTGGCGCCCATGTGGGGCTGACTGAGGGAGCTCCGGGCTGGCGGTGCCATCCTCTGTGCCACTCCCGCCTCCAGGACAGGAGGAGCGGGGCGGCCCTCTCACGTGGCCCGGGTGAGGCCCAGGTGGTCAGGAGCAGAGTCCTCCTGCGAGGGTGCAGCGCCCCAACCCCTCTCCTGGCTCAGGGCCAAGGAGCGGCCACGGAGGGCCCAGCAGACCCGCTCTGGGGCAGAACCTCAGAGCAGGCCGGGGGTCCCGGGGGACAAGCTGCTGAAAATAGGCCCTGGGAATGTCTGAGCGTCCATGACCCAGCTGGGCCTGGGGAGGGCAGGGGAGTGCACACTGGGGAGGGAGCCAGCAGCTGCCCCGGGGCACTTGGCCCTTGAGCCTTAGGAAGGAGCAACCTGGGCAAGGCACGGGTGGGGCGGGGGGGTGTGTGTGGAGGGAAGCAAGCGGAAGGAGGTGGTCTTGCTTGGTGCACCAGAACCCCGCAGCTGCCTCCCCCAGGTCTCGGGGGTCCTGGGGTACCCCCATGCTGTCCTGGGACAAGGCGGGGCATTCTGGGCACAGAGGCAGCCTGGGGCCAGCAGGCCTCTGCGTCCTGGCCGCTTTGTGCCTCCCGCTCAGACACGGCCCCTGTGCCTGCTGGTAGCACCAGGGGGCAAGGTGGGGGAGGCCCACGGTGTCCTCCATTGTTCAGGCACCAAATGCCATAGCGCCCCCCAGGGAGCGGGGCTGGGGGGGGGTCTGGGCAGGGCAGATTTGGGTCTTGAACTGGCCCCCTGAGCCAGGTCAGCGCTCCGACCCCCCACAGGTGCGTCCTGAGCCAGGTGAGCTGATGGGAGTAGGAGGCCTTGCACCTGGGGGAGGGGGGCAGATCTCCAGGGGAGGCTGTCAGGGCCCTGACTGGTACCCAGCCGAGCCCAAGATGGGGGTGCTCCCGGACATAGAGTCTGGGGGGTGATGGGGACTGCAGCTGCTGAGGGGTTCCCAGCCCCGTGGCCCAGCAAGGTGGGTGGGAAGCTCTGGGGACTTGAGGAGCACCAGTCTGTGGCTGATGACTTTCGAGGGTTCCAGGGAGTGTGTGTGTGTGTGTGTGTGTCTGAGTGTATGGAAAAACTGTGCTGTATACCAACTGGAGGGCCAGGCGCACGGCCCTTGGCCCCCTCTGGCATCCTCCCGTCACTCTGCAGTCCCGTGACCATGGCAACGGGGAATAACAGCAAGGCAAGCTAGCAAGAACCTCATCAACCGTTTTCAAAGGGGGGGGCCTCCCCGATGGTGGGCGCGGTTGGAGTCGCAGTGGGGGTGGCAACCCTGGGGCGCGGTGGGTGGAGAAGCGGACAAGGCTGGCTCATGGCCTCCCCCCGCCCCCGCTTGGAGCCTTAAGGTGGGCTGGGGGTGCAGGCTGGGTGGAAACATGGGGAGGCAGCTGGGGTACCCAGACAGACGCACTCATACACGGCTGTGTCCATGGCACCGGGACACACGTGGGCACAGCCTGGCACCCTGTGCGTGGCCCATCATCGGGGTGGGGTGGAGGCAGCCCTGCCCTGGAGCCCCAGGCCTGCAGCCAGCATCCCCGTGCAGGGCAGCCCTCTCAGGAAGCTGCAAGGGGGTACACGTGACATGAGTGGGAGTACGCACGTGGCTGGAGCCCCGTGATCCACTATGAGAGAACCCCCCACACCGTGTCAGCAGTGGTCTGGGGCCTAGGGCCCTTCTGCTGCAGCCCCTGCCCCGATGCTGCACCCCCATGTCTACACTGCTGTCCTCTGCTGTGTCTGAGCGTCCATCTTCCCGCCCTCCACGTCCTGCTCTTCCCCGTCTCGGCCTCTCTCCAGCTCCTGGAGCCGGGAGACGGGGAAGTCAGCCCCCCACACCCCCACCCCGTCACCCTGCCTGTCTGCAGCAGCAACAGGCCAGGCCGGGGAGACACCAAGGGACAGGTGGGGCCGTGGGGGAGGGCGGGCTGGTGGGCTTACTTACCTGCAGAAACCGTGCCGAGGTGCCCCAGCGCCGGGCACAGGGGCAGTGTCCACGGGTGGGAGTCTGGGGGCTCCGCCAGTGTGTGGTGTGCACCCCAGCTCCTGCGGGCGACAGCCAGCCAGCCACTGAGCGGTTCCCGGATGTGGTGCCAGGCGTGCAGAGTCCAGCTGTGGCTTCAGGAAGGGAGTCGGGGGCGGTGGGGTGGAGCTGGGGGTGAGTAGAGGGCAGCGTGAGGAGCAGGAAGTGAGGGTGTGGGGTCTAGGGCGCCATCCTCATGGGGGGCTGGCCCTGGAGGTGGTCTCCGTGGCCCTTGAACCACAGGAGCTGCCACCCCCACCCCAAGCCAGGCTTGGGGGGGCAGAGGCCAGGCGGGTGGGGGCCGGGGGTGGGGGCACCCATGGTTTCCCTCCCGTCCCCCAGCGACAGGCAAGGGGCCTATGGTGGGTCAGTGGGCAAAGCCGCAGTCACCGTGTGCTCTGTGGGGAGGCAGGCGCCCCTGGGTCCCGTTAGAGGATGGTCTCCAGCACCTTCCATGAAGATGCGGCCTGGAGAGGCCCAGGGCCTGTTTTGTTTTGAGAGACGGGTGTGTCCAGGGTAGCCAGAGGGAGGGACCCGTGGAGGAAGGCAGGAGGGGCAGACTGGCTGGGGTCCGGGCAGAGAGTGAGCCCGAAGCCCCGGATGGTGCTGCTGCGGCCGGAGGTGAAGGGTCCGCAGAGCCCCGGAGGGAGGGCGCCGCTCCCCAGCAGCTACAGAGGGAGGTGGAGAGGCTGCCAGTGACCCGGAGGGAGGACAGGGCAGGGATTCCCCGCAGGCCAGGCCCCCGCCCAGGCCGGGCTGCAAGGTGGACAGGAGCCCGCGCCCCTGGGCGCTCCCACCCTGGGTGCTGGAGGCCGCCGTCTCCACCGGGCGCCAGCCCCCACTTTCCCTGGGCGGGGCCCTGCACTGCCCCCGCCGTGCCCACTCGTGCGCTTCCCACAGAGATAAGGAGCCCCTCCCTGGACGAGATGCCCTGGGCGCGGCCGGTGGCGCCTTCCCCGACAAAGCCCGGCGGACAGATCGCGGTGACACCGACGCAGGGGACGCCCCGTCTTGGAGCCCCCTCGTCCAGGTCCCCCGGGCTGCTGTCCTGTGGTCTCGCCGGCAGCGGCGGGGCTGGGGGGGGGTGTCCAGGCTCCGGGAGTGAGGAGGCCGGAGGGGAGGTCTTGGAGCGGCAGCTTGTCCCCGACCCTCTGCGGGGACACGGTCGGTGCGGTGCGGAGGAGCGGGCCCACGCCGGTTTGCAGGGATTTGCATTTTAGCGGTGACTCGGCCCCTCCCTGGCTCCCAAGCATCCGGGGGCTCGGGCTGGGAGCGCCTTCCCGACCTGGGGAGCCCTCTCCCTAGACCCCTGCAGCCCCCGGAGGGGCCGCCCCCTCGGTGCGTCCCCAAGGACCCCCGCGCGCCCCCCCGCCCCCCGTCGGCTGGCCCGGGTGCTGCCCGGAGGCGGGGGTGGACCGATGACCTTTCCTAGCTGCTTGGCCTGGAACCAGGCGCTCGGGTCCAGGTCCTCGACTCGGGGGCGGGGCGCGAGGGGGCGGGTCTCGAAGGGGCGGGGTCCCGGGGACGCTGAAAGGCGCGCACCCGGCCGCACCCACCCAGTCCCGCTCTCCCGTCCGCTCCTGCCCTGTCGTGCGCGCCGGACCCGAGCCGCTATGCCTAAGTGCCCCAAGTGCGACAAGGAGGTGTACTTCGGTGAGCGCCCCCCGCCCCTGCCAGCCCGGGCCCCTCCAGGGCCATGCGGGCGGGTCTCCCTGGAGGGCGGGCGCGCCCGGGACCCTGGGGCCGCGAGCCGCCGGGCTGTGCCGGGGGACCCGGCGTCGGAGCCCTCTGCCCCCGCCCCGCTGTGTCCCCCCTCGGTCCTGCTGCTCCTCCCTGGCCCCGGTCACCCCGTTCCCTGCCGTCCCCCCGCGGCGCGCCCTGGGTGGGGACCGCGCTCGAGCCGCCCCTCCCATCGCTAAGTAGAAGCAGACGCGGAAACCGGCGCTCGGGGCGCGATCCTGGGTGCCGCTTCCCCGCCCCGCGCGCCCCGCGCCCCGGGGCCGGCCCCGGAGGGAGGAAGTGGGAAGTGTCTTCCCCGCCTCCGCCCCAGAGAAGGGCGCCCCGCAGGCCCCACCCCTCCGGCCTGCAGCCCAGCCAGGGCCCCCGCCCTGGCCCCCCAGCGCCCCCTCTTAGTTTGCCCTGGGGACTGGAGGTGCCCCTCCCTACTCCGGGGCGCAAGGGCCAGCTGGGACCCTGGGCGGGCGTGGGTGGGAGCAGGGGCAGGTGGAGGAGGCTGGTGTGCCCTGTGACCCCGCAGCAGGGTCTCACCCTGGGGGGTCTCTGTGCCTCTGCAGCTGAGCGGGTGACCTCTCTGGGGAAGGACTGGCATCGGCCTTGCCTGAAGTGTGAGAAATGTGGAAAGACGCTGACGTCAGGGGGCCACGCCGAGGTAGGTGGGCGCGCAGGTGGGCGCGCAGGGCGGCAGGGGCTCAGGGCTTGGCGAGGGCCCACAGCCCCTCACGGCCCTTCTCTTTGCAGCATGAAGGCAAGCCCTACTGCAACCACCCCTGCTACTCTGCCATGTTCGGGCCTAAAGGTACGCTTCCCGGGGCCCCTGCCCTGCCCCCCAGCCTGGCTCCCCCTAACCTGCCTACTCTTTTTTTCTGCAGGCTTTGGGCGGGGCGGAGCCGAGAGTCACACTTTCAGGTAAACCCAGGTACACCCCCACGTCCCCCAGCCTTCGGGATGCGGCCCCCACTCCTAAGCGAGCTCCGAGGCTCGCTGGGCCCGCTCTCACCTGTCTCCGTGTCTCTCTGCACAGGTCATGAAAAGCCATCCCCGCTGCCCACCGGGCCACACCCTTCCAGGCCGATGGCAGGCCTCATACCCTGGCACCCGGGGCTCCCCTGTAGACTCTCGTGCCCTCAATAAAGCTGAACGCTCAGAAGCCCCGCCTGTGTGTGCTGAGGAGGCGTGTGTGTGGGGGAGGCTGCAGCTGGCCCCTGTGACCCCAGACCCTGCCAGGGACACTAGCTCTTCCTGCTGCGGCCAGCCTTGCTGCCCCCTGCCCTGGTGGCTGCTGTGCTGGGGACCGCCGCAGGCCGAAGCCTCCTCCACGGGGCAGGCGGCTGTGTACCCTGGAAGGCCCCACGGCGGCTCGGCCGTCCAGCGCCCGGACCCGCAGAGGTTCTGGGATGGGGCCGAGGGAGCGCCCACACTTCAGTGGCAACATGAGGCCTCCAGCCGGTGGGCGGTGGCCACAGGGTGCATCTGCTGTGCTCACACAGTTCCGGTTTTTGAGAAGCTCTGGGGGAGTTGGGCTGGGGAGTCCCTGCGTGCTCTCCCCGCTTCCTGCCGCACCCTGTCCCCATTACCCACCCGCCCCGTGTGCCAGGCGGGCCACGTTCCCGCGGGGGTATCGCCTGGACACCATCACCGCTCTCCCCCACAGCCCTCCACTCCGAGGCCCAAGCGGCCGCCAGCCACCAGATGGGGAATTTGAGGACTGGCTGGGCAGTGCGTAGTTGGGGGGTTTCTGGAAACTCCCCTGTCAGTTCTGGGGGCACCTGCAGGCTGAGCCACACTGCAGCTTCCCCATTCCCCGCCCCCTCCCAGCCACTCGGACTCCGGCCTCGGCCCTTCCCCAGGGTTTTGCTGGTGGCCGTGGAGGCCTCAGCTGGACAGTGTCGGGAGGTTTCAAGGGCCAGCTGTAGGGTGGCTCACAGAGCCTACGGGGTGGAGCCAGAGCACGTCTGGGGGGACGGGGCGGAGGGAACAGACGGTGCTAAGGCGAGGCAGGGTTTCTCAGGGGACAGCGGGGGCAGGGGCCGGGGGCGGGGGGACTTGGAGACTCAGCGGGAGCTCCCGCCTCCTGCGGGTTCAGGGGCTCACAGCCAGGTGGGGCGGATGCAGGATGAGGGCTGAGCCTCCACGCCTGTGGCCAGAGGGCGGCCCAGCAGCGCAGGACACGGGTGGGGGGGAAGAGCCTCCCACGGGAAGCGCAGAGAGGAGCCGCGGGGCCGCGGCGGGGCCAGGGTGTGCTCGTGTCCCGACGGCCGCAGGGCGCTGCACCCCCGCCCGGCGTGGGCAGGGCGGCCAGCGGGAGGGGGGCGCGGGCGCGGGCGGGGCGGGAGCGGGGCCTGGCCTCCGGGGCGCGGGGGGTCACGCCCGTGCCCACGCCACCGCAGGCAGCCCGCCGGCTCCCCAGGCCTGGGCTCCGCAGCCGTCCGCGACACCGTCCGAGACGCCGGAGACGCGGCTGCCCCCCGCGCCGGGGCGTCGGTGCGCACGGCCGGACCCGGGCAGGGGCAGGGGCAGGGGCAGGGGCAGGGGCAGGGGCGGGCGAGCAGGGCGGCCGGGGTGCGCGGGGGCCTCGGGGGCCTCGGGGCCCGGCCCCGCCGCGCTGCGCTCCCGGGCGCGGGCCCTGCCGGCGCCGCTTGGGGCGGGCGGCGGGGGGGGCGGGGCCGAGGCCGCCTCCGGGCTGCAGGGGGCGGGCCCCGCGGAGCCGCCGACGCGCATTGGCCGCTGCGGCGCAGGAAGCGCGTCCGCCCGGGGGCCGCGGGCGCTGGGGGCGTGTCCCGGGCCGCGCCGCACCGCCCGCCTCGGACGCCGGGACCCCGAGGGCGGCATGAGACGGCGGCGCCGGGCGGAGCGGGAGCGGGAGCGGGAGCGGGAGCGGGAGCGGGCGGGCGCGGCCGGGGCCCTGCTGGACGCCGTCGCCGCGCTCAGTCGGACGCTGCCCGCCGGGCCCAGCCCCGAGACCTTCCGCCGCGCCAAGTTCGACCGTCCGGAGGCGGTGAGGCCCGCGGGGCGGGCTGGGGGGGCGGGGCGGCGGGGCGGCGGCGGCCACGCTGACCGCCGCCCTCTGATCGCGCAGGCCCCGCCGCTCTGGCGGACGCTCTTCCTCGCGCTCTCGCCGCTGCCGGGCGACTGCGCGCCTGCGCCCCGGGCCCCGCCGGCGCCTCCGGCCCTGGGTAAGCCCCGCCCACCACAAGCCCCTCCTCCCGCAAGCCCCGCCCCCGCACGAGGCCACGCCCCGCAGCCCTGGCCCTGCCCACTCCCCGCGGGGGCCTCCGGCTCCTGTGGCCCCGCCCCCTCAGTAAGCCCCGCCCCGCGGCCATAGCCCCGCCCACCCCAGCTCTGGCCCCCCCCGCTTCGGCAAAGCCCCGCCCCCTCGTGAGCCCCGCCCCCGAGCCCTGGCGCCCCTCTCCCCCGCCCCCAGTCCCCTGCCACCCTGGCCTCTGCTTGGTGGCCGTGCGGGGCCCCCGGAGGCCCGGGCGGGGTGGTGCCCACTGGGCGCCCCCTGAGCAGCCGGGCCCCTTCCCAGAGGCCCAAGTCCGCCTGGTGAAGAGGGCGCTGCGCTCCCAGGGCTACCCCCGGCGGGCGCTGGCACAGCTCCCCGAGGACGGCGCCCGGGGCAGCCGCGAGCTCCTGCTGGCCCTCGCCTGGCTCCTGGCCCGCGGGCCCCTGCTCGAGCGGCTGCTGGGCCGGACACGCGTGCGGCTGGGCGACGAGGTAGCCCTGTGCCAGGTGCGTGTGGGGTGAGCGGGCATCGGGTCGCATCGGGTCGCCTGGGCCAGCCCTCGGGGCCGCCCTGGGGGTCGGCGGGGCCACCCCTGCGCCGGCCTCCTGCCCTCCCCCTTTCCGGGCAGCCCCGGGGGCCCACGGCTTTCACTCGGGGTGGGGGGGGCGTCTTTTCTCTTTCTCCCTCGGGGTGTCCGCAGGGGGTGGGGGAGCAGGGCGTGACCCCCGTTCCCTCCCCAGTGCGAAGCCCCGGCCAGTCCTGGCCCGCCGGCAGCCTGCGGGGGTGCAGATGGCCCTGTGGACATACGCCACTTGCAGTGGTTGATGGGAAAGCTGCGGTTGCAGTGGCGAAACCTGATGACCAGTCAGCAGGAGCAGTGTGCCCTCCTGGCCAAGGTACTGGGGCTTGAGGGTTGGCCCCGGGGCCCGCGGCCTCTCTGCCCGAGGCCTGTCCATCCAGGAGCCCGGGTGTGCCCTGCAGTGGCCCGGATCCTGAGCCCCGGGCTCCAGGTGGTCCGGGGGAGTCCAGGGCAGGTGGACCTGGGCATCGCTGGGACAGGGAGCCATGGGGCAGGGAGCCTGTTCCTGGAAGTCGTCAGGGGCCTCAGGCTCCGTCTCTGAGCAGAATGATCTCTGGGCCCTGGGGGAGCCGCGGCTGCCTGGGTGTTTTTCCGGGAGGAAGGTACCCCCTCCTAGCACATCCTGGGTGCTCGTGGGCAGTGGGCAGCTTCTGTAGGGTTCCTGGAGGCTGGTAAGGCTCCGCGGTGGGGGCACAGGTCACCCTTACAGGCCCACTGCAGCTAGGCTCAGAGGCCACTGGGCAGGGATGCTCAGACTCCCACTCCCACCAGTGTGGGCCCCGCCACCCAGCATCCCTGCACCCCTGTATCCCTGCACCCCTGTACCCCTGTATCTCTGTATGCATGCACCCTGCACCCCTGCACCCTTAAACCCCTATATCCCTGCACTCCTGTGCCCCTGCACCCTGGACCCCTGCAGAGAGCCTTTTGCTCCCTCAGCCCTTCTTAGAACCTGTCTCTTGCTTGGCCTGGGCTCCAGTTGCTCCTCCTGCGTGGGCCATGGCCACTCATTAACCTCCGTGATGCCTTCAGGCCTCACCTTCCGAGAAGCTTCCCTGCCTCCCAGACCCAAATGGTCACTCTGTGTCCCTGCTGTTGGCTCCACCGGACCATGTAGCCTGTCCAGAGGCTGTTTCTCCCCCCACGTAGACCTGGCACTCAGTGAACTTAGGGAGAAGCAGGGGTGCCCCATTCGATTCCCACCATGCCCCTGGGAACTGGGTGGGACCGGGAGGCTACAGGGGGGACTGTCCAGCGCCCCTCCCACTGCAGGGGTCTCCGGGAGGGCCCTGGGCCAGCACCCCCACAGTGCTGACTGCTCTCTGAGCCTGACCCTGGCCTGCCCTGGACCACCTTGGCAAGGCGAGACCCGTTTCCTTGCTCCCTCCTGCTCAGCCTGGGGTTGGCACTGCCTGTTTCAGATCCACTCGTATACCCGTGGCTGCCACAGTGACCGAAGCCTCGGCCACCTGTCTGTTGCTGAGACCGAGATGCTCAGGGACCCGGAGGGAGGCCAGCAGGTGAGGGCTGGTGTGGGTCCCCCTCCTGTCTGAGCCAGGTGTCTATTGGTGCCATAGGACTGCAGAGACCAGAGGTAGTGGGGTTGAGGTGGGCAGGGGGCTGCGAAGGAGGACCCAGCCGACCCGCTTTGATCTCTGGGTGATTGCCCAACTCACCATCTTGCTGATGTGGGGGACAGGCACCTCCTGAGGGCCTCCCCTGGCGCCCTAGACCAGGATGCAGACCGGCTGTTGTGTGTGCCTGTGGCTGGGCATGGTTAGGGCCCCAGGGGCACAGGTGTCTAGGCTGGACTGGCAGCTGGGGGAGGGTGCCCTTTGGAATTAAGGAAGACTGCTTGAGGGTCAAGGTCACGATGGGGGTGCCTGGAGCCCGAGCAGGGGTCATCTGGCGATGAGGTGGTGGGCAGAGGGCTGGTCTAGCATGGCCCGACTTTGCTGACTTTCGTTTCGGTGGCCCCCGATCTGTCACGATTGTTTCCTTCCCTTGGGCTGGCACGGCCAGGGTGTCCTGGGCCAGGCCCAGGGCTGGCTGTCACTTGAGGGCTGGACTCTGGCTCGTCCAGAGTGTGAGGCTGGCACCGTGCAGCCTGGGGGGCACTTGGCCAGGCAGGAGGGCTGAGGCTCAGGGCTGGTGCGGCCGCTCTTTCCAGGCCCAGCAGATCCCAGGCTTGGAGTCACGTGCTCCCAGAAGGTCCTGCATCCCTTTAGTGGGGTTGGGGTGGCCACCTGGGGGTGCCTGCCAGGCCCGCATCCCTGGCCAATACCTGGCTGGCCCCGTTCAGGCAGGGCTGCACTTGTCCCTGGCCGTGCAGAGGCCGTAGTATCTTGGCGACCCGAGGTGTCCTTTTACGGGTGACTCAGCGAGGCCGGGCCTCCTGCCCCTGGGGGCCCTGGCCTGCATGCCCCCCCTCCTGTCTGACGCTGGGGCGTGTTGCAGCTGCAGGACCGCAGGTGGCGTGGGGTGGATGGGGGTCACAATCAGTTTCCTTCCCAGGTCTCTGGAGGGCGAGTGGCAGAAACCTGGGCCAGTGTACCCAAAGGACCTGCACTCCTGGGATGGGTCCCAGAAGCTTCTGGAGAGATCTGTGGTTGCTGTGGGTGGCCAGGCATGCCGCGGAGCAGCTGGGCAGCACGCGTGCTTGGCTCCGGGCTGGGCCTGCAGCCCTCTCGCGTCCCCGTGCCTGGCCACAGGCAGCGGGCTGCGGGGGTGGCGGGGGACTCCAGCACCAGGCCGGAGGTGGGGGGCAGCGGGGACTCATTGCGCCTTCCTGTTGTGCCTGCCCCCCTTTCCCTAGCCTGGGAGGTGGGGAGGCCCCGCGGACTGTTCTCGGAAACCACAGAACTGAGCTCGCCTGCGTGCACGTGGGCAGCAGGCGGGGGGCCAGCACCTCTCAGCCTCCGGGCTGTGCTCCGCTAGGCCCCCCCGCTGGAGGGGCAGGGCGCGAGGCTGTCCCCATCTGGCCCCTGGAGCCCCAGGTTCCGGCTGTAGGAAGTGGACTCCTGGTTGCCCGCTGGCCGTCTGCTGCGGAGCGGGGGCAGAGCAGGGGCCCCTCCCGGCGGGGAGCCCCGGGCCCCCGGGCCGGTGTGTAGGGCGTGTGCACCGGCCCTTCCCGCCGGCGGCGCGCAGAGCTCTTCGCTGGCCGCTGTGCTCTGGCCCCTCGTCCTGGCTGCACAGCGCGCCGCTGGGTTCCCAGGAAGCCCGGCAGGTCTGCCTTCTAGAAGGAGCCGTGGGCGCCGCCCGGCGGGTGTGCTGTGTTCAGAGAGGAGCCACAGCAGGTGCAGGCCTGTGGCTTCCTGGTGGGGGTGGCGGGGCGTGCTGGGGCCCAGGCGGGGCTCGAGGAGGCCTGACTGTGCCGCCCCAGTGACCAGTGGGCCCCCCAGTGTGGGGCTCCTGGCCCCCGCCAAGCTCCTGGAGGCCGAGGCCGGGGCAGGCACTCCGTGAGCGGCAGCAGCCCTGGGGCCCGTGGCCGTCTGTGGGTCCACCTGTTTGTGTGGCGGGCGCAGGTTCGGGGCTGTGCGACCCGGACTCCCTGCCGCTGGGGTTCCCAGGTTGCCCAGGAGGGGTTCCCTCCCCCGAGAGCCCGGCAGGCTCCCCGTTCTGGGCTCCCTCACCTGCCCGCCGTCTCGGGCTGCGGCCCCCAGTGAGGGTTGTGGGGCAGAGGTCCTGAGCCCAAGGTGCTTGATGTCTGCTCCTGACTCCGTGGGGACCGTGGCGTGTCGGCCCGGTCGCGTCTGGAGGTGGGGCTGCCCTGCCTTGCCTGCCCGGAGATGGCCAGGCCGGAGGTGGCGGCGGTGACGGGCTTGCGGGCCAGAGGGACGGGCGTCGGCGCTGGGGGTCCCCGGAGGGCAGGTGGGGCTCTGACCTGGCCGCGGTGTGTGGTTTGCCTTGCAGCTGCTCCGGAGGCTGGAGAGTGAGAACGCGCGCCTGGAGGCTGCCCTGGCGTGGCGGCGCCGGGAGCTGGTCTTCTGGCAGTGGATGGTACGACGGGGCCCCCCCAGCCTTGAGCGCAGCCAGCAGCCCTGGGGGCACCTCCCTACTGCCCAGACGGGAAGGGGCGTCGGGGGTGGGGGGCGCATACACACCGGCCATGAAGCCAGCTTCAGACCCGGGGCCCTCTCCAGGACTCTGTCCCGTCCCCGTTGCTGCCCAGCTCCCCGGGAGCCCCGACTTCTCAGTATCCAGCCTGCCCTGGCCTCTGGCCTGCTGGGGTGACAAGTAGCTGTCCACCCTCGGCGGTGGGCGCTGGCCCCATGGGCTGAGGGGCTGGGCCTGTGGTTAGGAGGCCTGGGCTCGCTGCCTGCCTCTTACGGGGTGGGGTCTCTCTCTGCAGGACACTGTCCTGGGGGCCTGCCCCCTGGAGGCCGCACAGCCCCCGTTTCTGCCCAGGATCCCCGAGTCGGGGGCTGACCAGTTGGAGATGGTGGCTCAGCAGCTGCAGGCCCTGCACGAGGAGCTGCAGGGAGCCGTGGAGCCCCGGCGGGCGGCCTGGGAGGCCAGGGTGAGGGGGCGCTGACGCAGGGACTGCGCTCTGTCCCCACGTAGCCCCTCCCGGCCCCCCAGCCCCGCCCGTGCCCTGCCCTGCTCCCCGGGAGCCACCCCGGTTGCCTCGTGTTTTCTGAGGCATCTTGAAGTAACTTGCAGGCAGGGTTTTCCCTAAAGTCTTCAGGACCCCGTGAAGCGGGGCTGTTCCCAGCAGCCTGCGGCCCCTCCCGTCCGTGGTGGTGACCCCTGGAGCGTGTTTGATGTTTGCAGGCGTTTCTCCCAAGCTGTCTGCAGCGGAGCCCGCTGAGGGCCAGGGTCAGGGCCACGACTGGGGACACAGCCTCTTCTCACTCCCCCGCCCCTGGGCTGGGCTCGCCTGGGGCACCAGTGCTGGGCAGGCGCTGTCCCCCTCCTGGGAGCCCTGGGAAGGCAGTGGGTGTGGGAGGCCGAGCCTGACCCCGGCACGGTGGGTGGGGGTGGGGGTAGGTGGCTGGAGGGTCGGCCCTCGGCTCTGAACAGGCCCCGGGGACCTGGTGAGCTGGGTCGCCTGCCGCTGGGCAGTGCTGCAGGCCACCGGGTGCTCAGGTGCTGGCCCTGTCCCGGGCCCACTGCTGGCTCAGGGCTCAGGTGCTCGGGGAGGGTGATGTAACGGCTGGACAGCCAGCACCGGGGTTGGCCCCTTCCCCGGGGAGGAGTGGGATCTGGGCCTGCAGCCTGTGTCCTGGCCAGCGGGCGGCCACCCCTGGCTCACGAGCCGCCTTGTCCCCAACGCAGGTTGGAGGCTCGGGGTCCGAGTGGAGCGCTCTGCAGCGGGCCACCCAGGAGGCCGTGGGACAGGAGCTGGCGGCACTTCGGCGGGCCTGGGAGCAAGGTGGGGCCCCGGCCCAGCCCCACGGACCCTGCCGGCTGGTGAAGAGTGACGCCAGAGCCTCGGGGGGCCCGGGGCTGCGGGCTGCCGAGGTGATTGGGGCGCTGCGCAGCCGGGAGGCCTGCCTGGAGGCGGTGCTGCGCCAGCTGCGGAGCCAGTGTCGGCAGGAGCTGGCCCGGCTGGCGGCGGCCCTGCCCGGCCTCATCTGGATCCTGCCGCCTGGTCATTGAGGGGCCGCGGGTGTGCGCTCCTCCAGGGGGAGGCCTCCAGGGGGGCCGGGACCCGGGGACGAGGCAGACACAGAGCCTGTGGCTGACCTCACCGGGAACAGCCCAGCCCCTTGGCTGGCGATACCAGGGCAGGACGACAGGCCCAGCGAGGTGTCCGTGGGCATTCAGGACCAAGAGAGTACGCACAACTGGGTTGTAGAGGCCTCCCTGCAGGGGCGAGGCCCTGTCCTGCCCCCCCCGCCCCCCCCGCCCCCTTCCAGGTTGCCGTCTGGGTGTGGCTGGGTCTGCTCAGGCCTGGGGGAAGGGGCCCCTGGGTGTCAGGCATCAGGGTCGCTGGTGCCCCTCACGCACTGCATCCGGGCCCCCACCGCGTGCCCCGCCTCGTTGGGCCTGGTGTGTGCGTGTGTTGGGCAGGGGCGCTGGCTGGGAGCCTGGGGTGGGGGCTCTGTTCCTTTCCTGGGGGCGGTGCTGGGGGTGAGGGGGAGGCCACCGTGGACAGAGGGGGCTTTGTTCGTGAGTCCGATGGGGGAGCTGGGCTCGGCCCTGACAAAGAGCCATCTGTGTCTGGGGGACGTGCCCCCAGCGCGCCGGAACAGGCCCCCTCCATCGCAGGGGCCTCAGCCTGTCGGCACCCCTCACCCAGCAGGCGCAGACGGCCTCGTCCTGCCTCCCGCCAGGCTCCCCTTGGCCCGGGGCAGCTGAACCCCAGCCTGCTGCTGCCAGCCGGTTCAGGCCCGGGGACACTTCCAGAGCCTGAGTCCCCAGCAGAACATCCTCGGCTTTTCCTGCTGCTGAGGGTGTGCTGGAGCAGCGGCTCACACTTGGGGCGCCGGGCTGGGCCAGCCTGGTCCCCACCCCCATCCTGAGGGACATGCCGGGGCTCCCTCTGCGCTGTCACACCAGGCAGACTGGTCAGGAGCATGGGCCGGACCAGGCAGTGGCCGGCAGGTTCCCCCTTCAGGAGAGCCTCTGGGCCTGCGCCCCAGCTTCCTGGCCCGGGGTCCCTCCCTCCAGCCACAGGCCCCCCCGCTCCTCCTCGGGGCTCCGGCTGTAGGCCAGGCACACGGGCCTCGACCCTCCGCCTGCCCTGCCCTCAGCCATCACGACCACCGGGTGGGACCCTTCGCGTCTCGGAAACGAGTCCACTCAGAACTGCCCGCCTTGGAGGACCGCGTCCGAGCCAGGCCGCCCCTGGCCCCCGACGCTTGGCTTTTACAGGCCCAAGGAAGCTCGGTCTTACGGAGCTGTCACTTCTCAGACCGGTCTGTAGGTCCAATACAGCCCCACTGAAAACCCCGAGTGTGTCTGTGGCGTCTGTGAGAGCTACTCGGGGAGGGACGGCCCCGGCGGCCAAGTCCGGGGGAAGCTGCCCCGGGAGCAGGTGCGCTCTGCTGGGCTCCGACGGGTGCCGCCGTAAGCACGCACCTGGTGGCTGGGGAAGCGCGGCCCGGCGGCTCGGCCGTAGGTGGGCAGGGGGCGCGGGGCCGTCGGCGAGGTCCATCTCCCACGGGCGGCCTCTGTGACGCTCCTCTGCCTCCCCTGCAGCCCCAGGCTGGTCGGTGACAGTCCTGAGATGCACATGACACGACCGGCCCACAGGTGGAGGCCGGGCCCCCCACCCCCGAGGCGCCAGGTGCAGGCGCTGGCCGGCGGAGCTCATGTGCACGCTATGGGCCGGCCCGGCCAGCGAGGGGCAGCGGGGGCTGCTCTGGGCAGGCAGGTGTCCGAGGGTGGCTCAGCGGGGCAAGGACACCACGCTCCACTGGCCGCCACCGACGCCAGAAGCCTGCTTCTCTGAAGACTCCATCTTACGGACAAGGGAGGATGAGGCAGCCTAGAATCCCTTCATGACACTTGTGACCTGCGGAGACTTGGCGTAGAGGACACAGAAGGGAGTGGGACCCTGGGGAGGCCCCGCCGGGAAGAGGAAGCGGGTCACCATGGGACCTGGACGGGAGAGGTGGGAGGTGGCACCGGCCCGCCGGGTGGGCGCAGGGCCCTCGCAGGGCAGGGCTGGGCGGCTGGAGCCCAGGCCGGGGAGGCCTTTCCCCCGGGGCTGGGAGGAGGGGGGACCCGCACGGCAGCCGGCCGGTAAGTGTGGCCACGGGCCCCGCTGTGACCAGGCCTCCTGGGTCCGTGAGGGAAGGACACACAGGTCACGAGGGGACCTACGAGGAGACCTCAGAGGAGGCCACGCAGGCGTCACAGGGTGGGGGCCTTGGTGGCCCGGGCCCGCGGGCTCCAGGACCCGCGTCTGCCGTCCTTGCCCGCACCCGTGCTGGCCTCTTGGGTGTTTTACCAACTACGGCGCCAGCAGGGCCCGCGGGCAGCCGTGCACACAGGTGCGTCTGTGTCCTGCGCCCACGGCGACCTTTCCCCGCCCCAGCTCCCGGGTCCTGGCCCTGACCTCCGCGCCCACCGGCCGCTTCCTCTCCCTTCAGCTCAGGGCCTCTGGGGCCGTTGGCCCACCTTGGCTGGACCCACACTTGGGGGCGCGGCTGGCGGGGCCGCAGGCCGGTCACGTCCACATTCTGGGGCCGCGATGCACTCGGGATGGAAGCCTGGGTGGGGGGCGCGGCTGGTGACCTGGCCCGGGTGCTCCCCTCATGTGTCCCCGGCCGCCGCGTCCCCCGCAGGGTGTCCGGCCACCTCCCCGGCCCTTCCCGCTGTGCTGGCCGTCCCCCAGCGTTCCCGCAGCGCCTGCACGCTGCCAGCGCCGGAGGATAACCGTCATACCCCGGGCGGCTGGGCGGCGGGTCGAGGTGTCAGGGTGGTGGGCAGAGCCGAGGACGGGCTGGGGGACCCGGAGCCACGAGGGGTCCACGCACGGAAACGGGGTGTGCGTGGGGGCAGCACAGCGCTCGGGAGGGTCGGGGCGCAGGGGCTGCACACGCCCGTGGCCCGTTGGGCCCTCCCGCCGAGCTGGCCGATGCCTTTGTTCCAGAAAACCCCCGTGCCCCCGGGGGAGCCGAGCTGGGCTCGGGAGGTGGTGGTGGGGGGGCTGGGCCCAGGCGGGTCCAGGTGGATACGGGCTCTGGGCTCTGTGGCTGTCTTGGTTCTGGGGCACGCGAGCTGACGGCTCTCTTGTGTTTCCTTCTGGTTTGCTCAGATTCTTTATAACACCAAGGTCCCCCCCACCCCCATTTTGGGGACCATTTATATTTCTTGGTGGTAAAAGGCTAACATTAAATTTCCGACCTTAACCATTTTTAGGTGTATGGGTCAGTGGTGTTACGTACTTCCCCACCGTTGGGCAGCAGATATCCAGAACCTTCTCACCCCGTCAAGCTGAAACCCCGGCCCCGTCCGCACTCACTCCCCGGCCCGTCCGCTGCATGGATGAGGCTCCTCAGGTGAGCGCACCACACGTGCTCTGTCCTTCTGGGACGGGCTGAGGTCACCCAGGGCCCGGTCCTCACGGCTCGCCCCTGTGGGAGCAGGGGTCGGGCCTTCTGCCCTTACCCTGAGACTGAGTCCCGTTCCATCTGTGGACAGACGGCGCTGTGTTTGTCCTTCTTCCAGCTGTGGGGTGTTACGGATGATGTGCCAAAATCCCTCCTCTGGGGGGACCCCGCCTGTCTAGGTCGCCGTGGGCCAGACGTGGACATGGTGGAGACACCTGTGCAGTCCCCAGACCTGGGACGTGAGCGGGTGCAGGGAGCACATGGGCACGGGGCTGCTCTCCTGGGGCGGGTGGGGGCTCAGCAGCGGCAGGCGGGTCTCCCCGGGTCCCGTGCTGGGGTCTCGCGTTGCCCCCAGGGCTCTTCACAGGACCCCCCTGCTCAAAAGAAACCTCTGACAGTTCCGTTTACGAATATGCATTTGGGTCCTAACAACTTGGCAGTTCAGAACAAAAACCAGAAACAAACCCAAGTACCCATCCACTGAAAATGTTCTTTTTTTTTTTTAAAGATTTTATTTATTTATTCATGAGAGACACAGAGAGAGAGAGAGAAAGAGGCAGAGACACAGGCGGAGGGAGAAGCAGGCTCCATGCAGGGAGCCCGATGCGGAACTTGAGCCCGGGTCTCCAGGACTGCGCCCTGGGCTGAAGATGGTGCTAAACCGCTGAGCCACCTGGGCTGCCCGACAATGTTCTTTTTTTTTTAAAAAAAATATTTTATTTATTTGTCAGAGAGAGAGAGAGCACGAGAGCAGGAGGAGGGCGAGGGGCAGAGGCGGAGGGGGACGCAGGCCCGGGCCGAGCAGGGAGCCCGACCGTGGGGCTGACCCCAGGACCCTGAGCCGACGGCAGACGCTCCGCCCACCGGGCCCCCCGGGCGCCCCTGAAAGCGGTCTTTCTCACATAACCGTACTTTCGTGGGCTGCCGGACACCGTGAGGCCCCACGCGCCTTCTCACGCCCGAGACTGCGCTGCCCTCTGGGCCGCCACCTGCTGTGGCCTTTGACCCCCAGTCGGGGCAGCAGCTCCGGAAAGCCCCCTTTGCAGAGACCCCTGGAGGGGACGGCAGGGCAGCGCAGCGCCCCGACTGCGGGCCACCCGGCGGGCCGTGCGTACCTGTGTCCTGGAAAAGCTCAAAGCGCCTTGTGGTGCCCCTGAGAATTGGCCGTGGCGCCCTCGGGTGCCTCGGCACGACCCTAATGCGCGTGACGTTTTGTGTTGCGTTCTGCTCCCCTCCGCTTGGTGTTAGGTTTTCAGGGCTCCGTCCTTGGAGCTGTGTGTCCAGCTCGTCACTGCTTCCGTCCAGTGGGTGCGTGTCCACGTCCCTCAGGCTCACTCCCCTGCCGCCCCCCGACTCTGGCGTCACAGACCGACCGGGGACCGGGCGCGGGGGCGACCGACCCTCCACCTGGCTGTGCTCGCTTCCAGCCCACACTCCCACCGGCTGGGACGCTCCTGTCCCCGAGACCCTCCCCAGCTTTGTGTGGCGTCCACAGGTTTGCAGTGCAAGGGGCACCAGGTGCCGCCGTCGTCACCTGCGCTCGCTAAGCTCTTCGGGCCCCTCTGATGCGACCGCCTGGTCGTATCCCTTCATCACTTGTGTTGGGGACTGTGCGTCTCTCGCTGGGTTTACTCATCGTATCCTCTCCATCCTGTCACCTGCTCACACGCTTGCTCGTGGCATCCTGTTTGCTCAACAGAGACCTTGGATTTTGTTCTCACCAAACCGATCATCTCGTTGCTTCTTGGAGAGAAGCGCCTGGAGACTCGCGGCCTCTCCTACATCCCAGGCTCCTCCGTTTCCCCGTCTGCGACATTTCTTTCGCATTCACGTGTCCCCTCAGCCAGAGCCCACCTAGTTCCCAACACCGCCTCGGCTCACTCGGACACGGCCCTTCCTGCCCGCCGGTCCCCTCCCGTCTGTGTGGGGACGTCCTTCCCGTCCCACTGTTCTGCTCCCACGCCAGGGGCAGCCTGTGGGGCAGGGATCTCGACGCAGGACTCGATCCCGGGTCTCCAGGATCACGCCCCGGGCTGAAGGTGGCCCTAAACTGCTGGGCTACCCGGGCTGCCTGGTTTTGTGACTTTTATTTTTTATTTATTTATTTTTATTATTTTTTTTAAAGATTTTATTTATTCATTCATTCGAGACGCAGAGAGAGAGAGAGACAGACAAACAGACACAGGCAGAGGGAGAAGCAGGCTCCATGCAGGGACCTGACATGGGACTCGATCCCGGGTCTCCAGGATCACGCCCTGGGCCAAAGGCGGCGCTAAATCGCTGAGCCACCCGGGCTGCCCGGTTTTAGAAAGTTTTAGAAAGTTTTCTTTCACTCTTATTTTTCCCACGAGCTGTTTCAGATCATAGATTTCAAACTTCCGTATGGCTCACCCCGAAGCCCGCACCTCTCAACGCGATAACTTGCTTCCGCCTTGTTTTGGGGCTTCATGAAGTCATACGTTACGTTCGCTCGCGTCTGGCTTCTTTCCCCGGCCTTGGATGCGTGAACCTCACGCGGGTTGGCTGCACGAAGCTGTCATCCGCCCGCTCTTACTGCTGCCCGGAATCCATCGTACAGACGTCCTGGCTCTGCCCTGTGTCGGGGGCCGCGGGGCTGTCGCAGCTGTTCCAGGTGACGCTTCCCCGGCCATCTGTTGCTCGCGGGCACGCACCGTGCAACCCTCCAGCCGCAGGGCGTGTCTGTGCTCAGTGGCAGGAGGCGAGGCCCGTTTCCTAGGCTGGTGCCCCGGCTCGCACCCCGCCAGCAGGGCAGAGCCGGGGGGGCTTCAGCGCCTCCACGCACACTCGGCCCCGCGGCCGTCCCTTGCCGATGGCGAGAGGGGCTGGCCACCTCGTTGCTGCCCCTTTGGGAAGTGCCTGTTGGCATCTCCCCCC